TAGAGATATCATTATGGCGGTATACTATGAACGGTAGGCTACCTCCTACATTAACACCTTTTTGTGCATACGCCTGATTACCAAGAGGTTTTGGTGGCACAGTTAAAAGGGAATACACCGGAAGGCGCTAACATACGCAGGGGAGAGCTCTCGACGCTTGCCGAAGGACCAATCTGAGTACATGATCATTGAAAGCTATGGCAGATAAGTCTGTGTCAGAAACGTATTGGATGGAACTTATTCAACGGGAACTTTCTAGCTTTCAACACGCACCGTTTTATGGGCATGCATCGAATTACGGTTATTTTTTGCTTACCCTTGTCTGCTCGTTACACAACGTCATCATATCTTCACATTGCAAATCCGACTGCGACGAAATCTCGTTTCTAGATTCACATACGTCGGAAGTTTCCGTATTGATACAACTTCGTATGTTGTCTGCGGAAGCGTTCCTAAAAGACTTGTCATTAACTACGACTGCGTAAACTCCTACAGACACCCACTGTAACGAGCGCAGTATTCTTGAGTGTCTTGAGTTTATTCTTGAAAGGTAAAAGTTGTCCCGGCATTGTGGAGACGTTCTGATGCCAGGTTGAAGCTCACGATCGTGTTTGAATATTCGGAAACGATCGGAGCTGTAGTAGAAGTTGAATACAACCTACTCCCAACACTTCATTGCTGGATCTGATGGCACCGACCGCATGAGAGCCGTAAAGAACCACAACAGAAGCATCTTCACTGGGGCTTAGTGATAATGTTAATCTATGAGAATAACCAATCAGATCCGATCCAGAACCGTGCAAATGAGCACTGATTAGCTCGCAGTTCTGGTAAAAGTAATGGTAGCGAGTGAGGCTTTTCTGAACATCTGCAGGTTGGTTACTGTTAGTGCGAGATGGGCTGGCAGTAATGAAAAATGAAGGCAATCCGTCGAGAACGCTCAGGTTAAGTGGTCATCACATTCGTAGGCGGATGTGCCAAGGCAATCCTACTATATATAATCGGCTAAGTGTGTGTGTGTGTTGTGTGTGTGTGTGTGTGTGTGTGTGTGTGTGTGTGTTTGACCGGAAATTCATAGCTCGAGTCACAGCAACGATAGCGCCATGGTTCTTACATATGTTATAGGGGGTGGGATGGGGACACAAGTGGTACGTGATAGGAACTGATAACGACTGATAATAGCTGATAAGAGGGGCTAGAAAGCGAGCATCGCCAATTTCGTTTTGTCGTTCATATTGGTACTAGAGCGTCTATACTTACAAGTGTTATGTGGGGTGGTCCCGGGACATTGGTGGTACATGATTGAAAGCGATAGCAACTGATAAGGGCTGATAAGGGCGTCAGAACGCAAAAGTCGTCGATTCCGTTACCTGGCTCGCGTTGACACCAGAGCAACCATACTTACAAGTGTTATGTGGGGTGGGACGGGGACATTGTTGGTGGGTGATAGAAAGTGGTTACAACTGATAAAGGCTGATAAGGCGCGTCAGAACGCAAAAGCTTGCGTAGCTTGCGCTGACACTAGAGCGTCCCTACTTACAAATTCTATTTGTAGTGGTACGTGCACATTGTATCATTGTATGACCAGCTTACTTAATAGCAGTCGATTGCATAAACTCAATCAAGTCTTCAGCAAATGATAAGTTTCATTTCTATCAAGAAAGCCCAAACTCATTAAACCGCTAATCCTTTCGGGGTTCTAAATAATGGTGAATGTAAATAAATGATAAGCCTTAGCTCCTCACTTATGTAAATAGGCATATTTCATTTTCATTTTGAGACTGACAGCAATCCTATTCACCGCTATCTGAATTCAAGAAGAATGCTGGATGTTTACAGTTGTGAGATAATACCAGTTCAGCTCCAGACGTTATCACGCGTATTCTCGATGGACTTCAGCGAAACTGGGAAAGGTCTAACACATTCAATAGTGAGGTGGTTAATGGAGTACCTCATGCTGATATTCCATGGGTCCTCCAGTTTCGCTAAAGCCTGCCGTGTGATGCGCGCGATAGCGGGCGGAGCAAAACTGGTAGAGAATAAGCACGGAGAGAATGAGGGGAAAGAGTGCAACAGATGACGAGTACCAGACAACAACTGATGGAAGAAAGTAATCGCAGCCTCACCAGCTTACTTTGAAAGGCTCCAACGCTCTCGTCGCTGGTTTCCGCACATGTGAACGCCTTATCTGTGGTTCTGCTCTTAGGGTTCGTCCTGAGGGAACCGTTCACAGGACTACTGCTTGGGTTATGACTTCAAGACGCGCACGATTTTTGAGCCTAGAAAGCCGAAAAGGTTGAATGATTACCGTTAAAATCAAGTTCCTTGCTAAAGCGAGAGAGTGAAAAGAAACCAAACTTGTAAGGCTTAAGAGTCGCTCTTCGTAATGATGACGGAATTGATAAAACCTTAATTAACTCTCAGCTGTTCTGGGAATAGATGACGGCGTAGAGTCGTTCAGCATGTCGTGCGGTACCATTGACCATATTTTCAGCTGGCATGATTCCTGAAGAGCCTAAAGGACGTGCAGGTAGGAGCACTTAAGGCGCTCTGTCAGATAATGTGAAGACGTGGAAAACAGTGGCCGTGAAACGTTTCGGGGTGATCAGACCCTCCGCTTTGAAGCGTTTGAGCCATCTCGATACCTGCACGTGAGAAGTCGTTCCCTACTTTAATACGGACATGATTGTGGACATCGACTCGCGAGATAATATATCCAAGCAAAATTTGCACATGCGAGCGCCCAGTGGACTCACGGGAAAGTTGGACTTGTGAGGTGCAAACGTCATCGCTGAAAAGAACACCAGGCCAAAGCACCGTGTACACTCTGTACACGATCAGCTTCTTTTATATACCACCCCTAAAAGTCACGAGCATTCGAGAAATAAGCCAGAAACGGCATCAACCGGGTGTTTTGAACGTTCTCTTCAACTTTATAAGGAGCCTGATCGTCCCGAAAAGTGTCAAGTCGTTTCCACAAAACCTAGCGGATGCAAAATGGTGTGTTCGAGAATCTCGAGGAATCCGAGTGTTGGAAAGTCAAACTCTATGTCATTGCACTTTCTCACACTTTTCCGGTTTGAGAGCATCAGACTTTTCTGTAGCTTTCCCTTTCTCACACTTTGCAACTGTAGCGCATGACCTCAGCATTCCCTCCCCGGCGCGCACTTCCCATTGTAGGAGCTCACAGAACCATTTAGGTGTATGTATGTTCCTCTTTCGCCAGCTTCAAAAGAAGCTGGCAGTCTATTCCAAATTTGACGTAATGGAAGCTTAAGTCTACAGCTTAGAGCAGTGACAACGCGTCTCACTCAGAAACAAAACAGAGAAAAAGGCAAGCGGTACTTTTTTAAAGGCACAACCCAGGCAGAGGTCGTGTGAACGCTTCTCTTCGGTCAGAAGTATAGAACCCTAGGGGACAATCACAAATGTGGCGTTCACGTGCACGGAAACCGACCGACAAGAGCGCTTGGGGCTTGCAAAGTAAGCTGCTCGAGCTGCAGCGAACGAGCTCTCTTATCAGGCCGTTGTCTGGTGCTCTCTCATCTGATGCGCTCTCTCGCCCCATACTCTCCTCTTCGCGCTTAGTCTCTCGTTCCTTTAGCACAGCCAATTAGGAAGGTGAGTGAGCCCTCAACCTGAGCGTTTTCGACGGATTCTTTTCCTTTTTTCTTCACTGCCGGCCCACTTGGCACCGATACATTCACATTCGTGTGCAAGAGCCACACCAGTGCGATCCTGGGGCATGCCTTTAAGGCTTTTGCT